TTGGGCATGTTTTAATTTAGAGATTAAAAGCGGGCTTGGCTTTCTTAAAAACTCTACCAAAACATACCGGCTCATTATCAACACATTATAATTATTTATTAGTGTAAACACATTATAATTATGAAGATATTACATATCAATTATTATGGCTTTAATTTTTTTAAAAGTCTTAAATGATATGCCATTCTTTTAATTGTTAACTCAAAATATGAGTGGTTTGTGGAAAGAAAAAAACACCTCAAAATATAAGTGTTAAACAAAAAATCTCTTATTTTGAATTGAATTACTTATGAGTGCTCCATCATTTAAGACTCACGAATGATTAAATTCTTTAAGGAGGGCAACTTAAAGGTAATTTTACAAATTTTCCAATTTTAACATGTACAACTTAAGTTATATTGAAAAAAAAAAAAGAATTTTTGAACAAAACATGTGTGCAAACTGATTTATGATCTATATCATTATTTATAAACAAATGAGTCTCAATAAAATTAGAAGCAATCTTTTATATATAATTATTTATTTTAAAATTTTATTTTATGTATAATATTTTTAAAAATAAAGTATTTGTCAACTTAATTTTTACATAATTAAAAAATTATATTTTAAAATTATATCATTTCATGAAATTTTTATTAAAAAAATTAAAGTAACATATTTTTAAAAGAGATATTATTTTAGAGATTGTTTTTAATTTTTTTATGATACTTTAACCGAATGAAGTAGTTTCAAGTTGTTTTACTCTTTAGTTTTTTAAAAATCTCGTTGTAGACACTAATTTTTGTTTTTTTTACCAGGTAGATGGTTAGGAAGTTAGTAGAGTTAGTTTGTTAGCAGTTAGAATTTTTTCAAGAAAGTGAAACTTCCACCTCTTCATTTGAGGCGCGCGACCATTAGGTCGCAAGTTGGTGGAATTCACGGCGGTGACAAAGCTCGAAACCTGACTTCCGCCTCACCCAAGCCCTAAAGCTTGGGCAACCAATAATTTTTGTTTTTAAATACAAAATTTATATATACAATAATATATAAAAGTAATTTATTTTATTTTACAGTACATATACTACTACTACTATATTGTTTTAAAATAAAAATAAAAAGAGAAAAAGAGAAAGAGATGAAGGCGATGGATTATGTCGGCCAAATTAAATTTTGGTTTTATCTTTAAGGCAGATCAACGTGGCGGCCGTGCCCTGACGACAGAATAGCAGCCAAGTGGGAAACTAACTCCCCTCACCTCTACCCGCCCCATCCCCACCCTATATATAAAACACCATGGTTTTTGATTCAAGTGTTTTATTGGATTGATCGCAGCCTCTTTCTGAATTCTGAATTTTCTTGTTGCTATGATACCCAACAACTTTTAGAAAACATAATTAAGAAAAATCAGGGTTTATTAGGTTTTCTTCAATTTTTCTTACTTTTCTCCCCCCCATGGAAGGTAGCTGTTGTTCGACCTCGACAACAACGACTACAGAGAATAAGCGGAAGCAGAGGAACAATTCGCAGCAAGACAAGCCATACAGAGGAATAAGGATGAGGAAGTGGGGTAAGTGGGTGGCGGAAATTCGAGAACCCAACAAACGCTCGCGGATTTGGCTCGGTTCTTACAGCAGCCCGGTCGCCGCCGCCCGCGCTTACGACACCGCCGTTTTCTACCTCCGCGGCCCTTCCGCTCGCCTCAACTTCCCTGAACTCATCCTCGAAGAAGACGTCCTCCTTGACATCTCCGCCGCTTCGATTAGAAAGAAAGCAACAGAGGTCGGAGCCCGCGAGGACGCTATCCAGACTGCTCGCAACCAATCGGAATCGAACCCTGTTAACCAGCTCGCCGAGAAGCCCGATTTGAACAAGTATCCAGAATCTTCTGAAGAAGATTGAGATAATCAGACAACTGTTTATTTATTTATTTTTTTCTATGTTTTCGATTTCCTAAGAACAGGATCAAAAACCGCTTCTGCTCTGTTTGATAAGTTTATGATTTTCTGTTTCAAATCCTGGAATATTGTAAAATCAAACAGGGGATAGTTTGGTCGGTTAGTTTAATTAGTTGAAGTTATAATTTAACTTTCCAAATATGTGTGTGCTTTTTTCTTGGGTAATTTTGGATTTTCATTTGGATGTTGTCTTGTTTGTAACTAAATATTTTGAGAAATTTGATGAAAAAGAGGGGCGTGAGATGAGGCGAAAGTAACGGGGAATTGGGAAGACAGCTATGCGGTTGCGGGTATGGATGGCCTACCGATCTGTACTTTCCCGCAAACCAAACAAAAGGGGTAAGGCGGAAGGCGATAAGGTAAGCTGAGTTTGGATGCCCAACAACTGGCTTAAGTGTTGTTTTGTTATGTATGACATGCCTGCGGACATCGTAAGACTCAACCAAACAGGGAAGAGGGACAGAGAGCGATCCTTGGTGTAGATGTTTTTCACCGTCATTGGGGATGGTGTAATGGTGTGGTACGCTTAGCAGAGGTTGTTAATTTGGTGGGGGATGATGGCTGATGAAAGGTGGGCGATGAGTTGGTTTTTCTCTTCTAATTTGTTTATATTATTTTTTTCATTTTTAATATTCAAAAATTATATTAAATTTTAATTTAAAATTTTACTTTAAAAAAATTAAATTCTTTCTACTTATATTAAGATATCATTAATATTTATATAATTATTTATATCGTGTTCAGATTAATTATTTCGATGTACGCATCTGACCCTTGCAGCCTAGTGACAATAGCCACCCCGGTACATTCCCCCTTCTCCCGGGCTGTGTTTGAAACTCGTCCCTTGCAAATATGTTCAAAAAAAAAAATTATTTCGCTGTACTTTGTAATTTATAATTGATATTTTAATAAAAATAATTATTATTTATAATTCAAAATATATAATTTAGTTGATTAGAGTAAATGTTTTGAAAACAATAGAGTAAATGCGGTTTACAGTAAGTTGATTTAAAAGAAGTTGAGAAGTTGTAAGAGGTACGTATGTGATGGATTTTTTAATTAAATAAATTATAATATTTAAAAATATTATGATTAAATTAACTAAAAAAACTCATCCTCTTTATCCATTCTCTTCAATTTTGCTCAAATAAAACATACTATTAATCTTTTTCTTTCACATAATTTTAATGTTTATCATATTTGTAATTTTTATAGAAGTTTTCCAAAGTAGAACTGATAAATTATTGTTACACAATAATGGAAGCAGCCATCATATTTTTAAAATTTCTTATTTTCTTTTTAAGTTTAAACTTGATAAATTTTAAATTCTTATAAAAAAACAAAAAGATTTAATCCAAAAATAATAAGTTTAAAACCTTAAGAAACCTTTTTAGATAACCTAGTTCCAATCTTGCTGATCAAATTACAATCTCGTGGGTCATGTTTATTTTGTTGGTATTTTGTAAGTTAATATTTGATTTCTGGATGCACATCCTGTGATGAGTATGACACCCGACATCTAACGCAAGTTTTCATTTTGGTCTGCTAATGTTCAATTTGTTCTGCTGTTCCAACCACAATAATCCACTGAAATTTTTATTAATTAATTAGATACTAGAGATTTATATAATCCCGATGATGTTAATGGATGGATCTGCCGTCTTTGAATCTGCAGAACTGTTTGTTTTCCTTTTCTTTTCATCTTTTTTTTTAGGCTGTGTGTATGGCGACAAATGATTGTAATTTAAAATACTAGTGCAAATAATTTGATTAAATTAACAAATGTAACTAGTGCTGATCAGAAATACCCAATAATCATCTTAATTTTTTGTTGTTATCTTAATTACTCGGAATAGGTCACTGGTCACGACTCACGAGTTGTAGTAATTTCTTGCACATCTCTTTTTTACTCCCTACCAGTACCACGCAACACGCAACGCAAGACAAGATAAGCATCGTGTCAATAACAAGAAATCCAAAAAGCTGCTTTGGGAAGTGCCGCCATTAGACTTGTTGTGAAATTAATGATTGCTTGGCGTGATTGGAGGATTAAGAGGGAGAGATGGTCTTCTCGAATATGTTTAGATTAACTTGTTGTAATTTTAGTTTTTTTGATATTATTTATATTTTATAAATTTTATATTTTTAAATTTATTTTAATTTTAAAAAGATTATAAATAATAAAAATTTAAAAATTTTAATTTTTTATAAACTTTTTGTATATTTAAAAAATAATTTTTAATTTTTTTAATTAAAATTTAAATTTATTACTCATAAACAATAGTAAAAAAAAACAAAAGTTACGATAAGCTAAACTAAATATGTCCTTCTTCTTTTTCTCAAGCTGGAGACATAATCTTTGAGAAAGGCAAAGGCAAACCAGAGACATTTTTT